ACAATTCTGCATGCACCAGGAAAATTACTATGCTAGATCTTTCGAGGCATCGAATCATACCAACAGTTTTAGAATAATTTATGTGTGTGTTTTTTATTATGTGTGACAGCGACCATTTTAGTGACCATTTTTAAAAATATTGATTATTATTATTATTATTATTATTATTATTATTAATATTATTATTATTAGTTGCTGTGAAATGAAGGACGAATAAATACATAATATGGTGTATTGATGAACGTCAATAAAGGGAAGTTGAGAAAGCATTAAAGATCTGCATCTTCATGTTTCATCAAGCATAATTCAATATGATGATGTTTTCATTTTTCGTAATATGAGGGATTCGGATCAAGGTGTTCAGAAATATTTAATCTGCATTAGGACATGGGCAAAAAAAAATCTCTTCAACTGAATCCTTATAAATGCAAGTCTATGCGTTTAACCTGGAGACGATATCCTAAACCCAGTTATAGTATCTCTAATACACCTTTAAATTGTGCTGATTCACGAACAATTTTAGGCTGTTCCATACAAAGTAATTTGTCATGGGACAAACAAGTTCAAGATACAGTGTCAAATTGTAACCGTATTATAGGCCTTATACGTATAATAGCATCTAATTCCCTAAGTGACGTAGCTCTTCACCTATATAAGAAACTTGTGCTACCCTGTTTATATTATTGTCCTCCAGTTTGGTGGGTGTACCGAAAAAACATATTAAACATTTGGAATCAGTACAGAGGAGAGCTACCTGCATGATATTAAGGAGAGGATATTTAGACCAGTCTTATAATGATAGAAGAACGGAGTTAGGCTTACTGTCAGTTGAGAGTAGGCAAGATTTTTTAAACATGGCATTCGTTGGAAAATTATTTATTTCTCCACGATCTGATTTTATGAAGGGTTATGTAGATTCATTTGAAGTTGATAATAGGCACCAAGATATACTTACCTTCCATCATGCTAGAGTCCGTACGGATGTGTTTAAATACTCGGGGTAGTTAGATTTCCGAAAACCTTTTCTGAACTTAATGTTGCTATAAGAAATAATCTTATTGAGGAGCCTTTTTCATGTTTAAACTGAGTTTAAAGGAACATTTTACTGATTTTTAATTTTGTTATATTATACTTTTTCAAATGTACATAAATATTGATTTTATCTTTTTCTTATGACGATTGCATTTTAACATTTTTATTGAAATGACGAAATACAGTACTAGGCTCACAGAGAGAGCAGCTTAGCACAGTCGGCTAATTTGGTGGTAGCCACTGTGTGCGCGCTGAACCGTGGAGATCAAATTCAAATTCATCTTTATTGTAATCATAAAAAGTTATATAGAATAGGGAGAATACTTCCTACAGCTCTACGTTGTATTCTCTCAATTGTTTGCTGTTGCTCTAAAGTGAGACCTGTAAACCAGAAGGGGTATGCATACTCCACTACTGATCGAATCACACTACAGAAATAATGTCGTAATGCATTCGTGTCAAGACCACTTCTGCGTAATTGTTTAAGAGAATAAATTCTGGTGTTGCATTTGGAAATCACAGACGTTACCTGACCATCCCACCGATCACAGGAGTCAAAAGGGAGATGTTTCCAGGAACATTCATCGCATACATATTTTAAATCAATATCATTATTAACAGTGTGGTTATATCCTTTTGGTGACAAAAAATCTTATTTAATATGGGTAGTTTAGTTGATGTAAATAGATACGTATAACACTTACCGATAGCATTATTTAAATATTTTGATTTGCATTATCTAAATAGATCGAAGAGGGAGAAATCTTGTGAGTAAATTGTTCATATCTAAGATTAAGATGTAATTTTTAAAACAAAAACAGGTAGAAGGAAACCGCTATAAAAATACCTTTCATAGTTCCCGCCATCCGGGCACGAAATCCGGTGATCACCGAGGAATTCCAGAATTCTAATCACTACAAAAGAAAAACTAAGTTTAAAACATAAATATCACGTTCGATTTCACAAAAATTGAGATACGTAAGTTCAAAATATAATGATCAGCAATTTCTATCCACAGATCCAATTGAAGATGGATATTTTAGGGTTCCATCAAACGTTGGGCTTGAGGTTTTGAACTTCACGTCAACTCTCACAGGCGGGATTTTTGAATTGTCATCGCGAGTAGTGCCGGTCTAGATGTTTTCTGCTGCGTTTTGCCAAAATACTTCAAAATCAAACAAAAACAGTAACAGAAATGTCACCACAAAATACTAGCAAATTAATAAGGCACAGAAACTTGATGTTTAAAATCAAGAAACACAACATAAACTGAAAATCAAAAGAGCAACCAAGAGAAATACAGGAGAGTAAAAGCACGTCGGGAGAGTAAAAATATATAAAATACGGTATATAAAATATATATAGTAGAAGCGGTAAGCGCATATCACGTTCGATTTCACAAAAATTGAGATACGTAAGTTTAAAATATAATGATCAGCAATTTCTATCCACAGATCCAATTGAAGATGGATATTTTAGGGTTCCATCAAACGTTGGGCTTGAGGTGTTGAACTTCACGTCAACTCTCACAGGCGGGAATTTTGAATTGTCATCGCGAGTAGTGCCGGTCTAGATGTTTTCTGCTGCGTTTTGCCAAAATACTTCAAAATAAAACAAAAACAGTAACAGAAATGTCACCACAAAATACTAGCAAATTAATAAGGCACAGAAACTTGAGTGTTTAAAATCAAGAAACACAACATAAACTGAAAATCAAAAGAGCAACCAAGAGAAATACAGGAGAGTAAAAAGCACGTCAGGAGAGCAAAAATATATAAAATACGGTATATAAAATATATATAGTAGAAACGGTAAGCGCATCGGTTGGGGCTTGGACTGCCGACTACCGACTCAAGCAAATTGTTTGTGTCCTTGTGCACTTTACCTACGTTTGCCTCTCTCCACCCAGGAGTACAAGTGGGTACCTAGTAGGTTCCAACACAACTGCGCTGATTACTAGCTGCAATATTATATTATTATGGAATAATAATATAATTTAATTTAATAATTTGATTTGGTGTTGATCATGTATTTCATGTGTTTGATCCAATGACCAGGGTAGTAATGTGAAGCGCTTAGAGGCTTTGTGGATGCTAAAAACAAAGCTTAGAGGCTTTGTGCATGAAGCGCTATATACGAACGACATATTATATATATAATATATATATATATACGACATATTATATATATAATATATATATACATTATACATATATATATAATATATTATTATATATATATATATATATATATATATATGTATAATGGACAATGAAAGAAAATGGTATTCAAATTCAAGTCTGATAGTGCTTTTCCAGTCATGATCAGTTGCATACCCACACTGTAGAGTGCTTATTTATTCTGGTTGTATTTTTACTAAATAATCCTTTCACATTGGTTTAAAAATATTTAAATAATAAAACTATGATGATTTCTTTCTTAAGGTTATTGCAAAAAAATTGTATGTCAGCCCTAAAACAATGGTTTTACTATACCGTGTGTACAGTACGGTGTAGTGGAACCATTGGGTTCCCCCCCCGGACAGGTCAAGCCCCCCCCCCCTATCAAACAGAGCTCGTCGGGCAGTTGGACTAAAACAAAAATAAAAATAGCCATACCCAACCAACACATGTCTGTCATGTCTGAGTGTCATTTCTGGCCATCCAGAGGTTTCTGTAAATAAAATCTCATTTAGAAGGAGAACACCCTCACAAAAACTTCCACAAGCTCCAGCCTACGTGCTCTAGTCCCCCTGTCGGACAGCTCGGCCCCCATAAAATCCTACAGCCGCCACAGCTACTACACCTTTTTATCATTGGCACAAACAAGCAGAACAAAAAAAACAAAAAAAACCTGATGCCAGGATTAATAATAAAATAATAATAATAATAATAATAATAATAATAATAATAATAATAATTATAATAATTTTGGCTTAAATATCGCATTATGCTAAAGCCTCGATGCGCTTAACAATAAAAATGAAACTGCCGGATTAACACTTAAGGTCTCCCTGGTTTCGTTTGTTGGTCACCCTAATGCCCACATAAGAACCTTGGGCCTCGCAGAGGTCTGGTTTTCAATAAAGTTGAGATTAGAATATCTGTCGTCATCAAAATGGACCTTTCCGGGGAGTCAATCAGACTTAACAAAAGACAAATCAGAGCAGGACACGAGTTGTCCCACAAAACGCACATGTTCGCGTATGTTTTAACACTCGTTATTTGGGACTTTAGAAGCAATATCCAAGGGGTGGTGGTCCATTATACTAGTGGCTGGCTGGTAGTGACTATTGTACTCTGTTTTAAGCCTATACTTGTTATATAAATTGTGTTTATGCTTGTTTAGGCCAGAGGCCTATAATCAATTCATGATTTATGTTGATTTATGGATTCAATTTCTTGGTGCTTTGCAATTGGAAGATTTAAAAAAAAAATCAGTTTTACTACTAAATAAATGCTTCTTAAACTTATTCCCAGAAAAAAAAAACTAACTTATGTTTGTTTTGAAAAATACACGATTTATGTATACCATAATATAATGTACGACACAAGACTGTGTCTTCCAACTTTTAATAAAGTTAATATGTGTACACATAGGCCTACTATGTATAATGTGTTAATAATAAATACATTTATAAAGTGCCTTTTTCTGGATAGGTTACAAAGCGCTGAAAAGATCACAAATCACAGAAATAAAATATATTAAAAAAATTTTGAAAATAAGTAGGTCTTGAGTAATTTTTTAAAAGATGTAATTAATAAAGATGGAATGTTGTGTTGTTGAAACATATTTTACTGTATTTTTATACCATTTTAATTTTACGTTTTTTTTGTAAATGATCAGTTGCATACATTCACTGGAGTGTGCTTATTTTATTTTGTTGTATTTTTTTACTGAATAACCCTTTCACATGGGTTTAAAAATATTTGTTTAAATAACAAAACAACGACGGTTTGTTTCTTAAGGTGATTGCAAGGAAAAATGTATGTCAGACTTAAAACTGGCAGCAGTAGGCAATACTGTATTTGGCTTGAATGTAAAAGAACTAAGAAATAAGGAGGTAAGAATACAGAGAATCAGTAGCTAGGTTTAAACATTTTTGGATTATTGTATTAATTTTATTGTCATCATCATTATCATTGTCATCATCATCATCATTGTCGTCATCATCATTATTGTCATCATTATCATCATCATCAAAATGATCAACTTCATCCTCATCCTCGTCAAAGAGGGCCATCTTCTTCTGTACGGCAACCGGACAGCCGTAATATTTGGTTTTCAGATCGATGATTGATAATGCGCACATTAATACAGCTTAGTGTAATATTTGAAAGAAGATATTCAAAATTAATTTTCTTTCCTATATAATCAGTTCTGTCTACCAAGTGTAAGTGTAAGTAAATACAAATCAAATTTCCATGATCTTGACCTTGTATTTTGACCTTTTCTTTCCAAAAATAACAAACACTTTCTTTGATTATTATGTATCATTCCACTATATTTTATGATGATCTATTTCTTAGTCTTTTGTGTAATGTTGCTAGCAGAGAGACAGACAGATCGAAGCGAATACAACCGCTTTGTGCGGAGGTATTAAGAATTAACAATGTATGTTATTACTCTATATCAACCCATCTCTACATGATCAATGGTAAATATTCATTATGTGCACGTTTCTCAACTCACAGCGGTGTATTCAGAATGCTACAGATACGTCATGGATTCTTCAAACGAATGACACTGAAGCTGGAATTTCTCTAAATTATCCTGTAAAATGTCAGCAAGGCTGCCAGCATTGCAATAATGAATCCCTTCGACCATGTAAGTCTAACACCAAAATATACTGTATAAAAAGACCTGGAAAAGTAATTACAAGTCCTACTGTTAATAGTATTGCTTATATGATTCAGTTCACCTTCCAACTCGAGACCCCTCTAATACTGAAAATTCCTAATTCCAGACCACTTTTTCAAAATATCAGACAATCAACAAGCTAACCCTCTAATTATCTGAGATCGAACCATGAAACCACACACATTTTCAGGGTTTCCAAGAGTGTTCTCGAATTAGAGGGCAATCTGCATTGGCATTTAAAAGAGCTATATGCCAGAAGGCAGATACAGTACCCAGAGACTTGAAATATTAAAGGTGGTCATGTACAATGTACCTCAATGGCAAAATTACGATACATGTACATAAATATATCTTTTTGTAGATCCTCCACAAGAGATTACTTACAGATCAACGACTGGATCAGACTTGTGTGTCGGATGGAAAGGAAATGTGTCAACAAATTATACAATGTATTATAGACAAGACAGGTAAGTTGAAATAAAGATGATGATGATGATGCTACTTCTGCTGCTGATGATAATGACGATGCTGATGCTGCGACGCTGATGATATTTCTATGCACCTGAAAAGAGAGTTTTTTGTTGCAGAGGTATGCTAATATGATCATGACATCAAGTGTAGGCCTAAAGTATATTCGAGCACTTGTATTGGCTTTTTTTCCCCGCACTAGCTTAAAAGTCAATTTTTACTGCTGATTTTATTTCTGCTTCTATTCTGTTTCATATTTTTTTACACAAGGTTTTTCTGTCCGGCACTTATGCTCACTGCTTGGTTCTTCTTGTCCAAGTTAAAAACCTTATCGAATATGTGCATATTAAAATATGACGTCATTATATAACATTAATGGATGGACAATGTATTTTATGTTAAAGATGTATTGTCCCATGTAAATAACAAAAAAAATCATAAATTTTTTTTTTTTTTAAATTAACTTGCACATTTTGAAGTAACATAAAAGTTATCAACTTGAACACAGAAATTATTGTATTTGAAAAATGTCTACTCATTAGTTTACAGCGAAAAAAGATAGAAACACCTCCATTTACTGGAAGTGTTTTATATTTTTATTATAATTTTTTTTGGTTTAAAAATCAGGGTACACATTTTTGTAATTCAATAATTTTTATGAACAAGTTAATAATTTGTATGCTATTGCAATAATAATGAGCAAGTTTATTTATAAATTATTTTTTATGATTTTTTGACATTAGCAATGGACAATACATCTTTAATGCAATTTTAATTTTCAAAAGCGTTTTAAATTAGCTGCAACTATGTTCAATGCAAAGTTACAGTGATATACATAAACAGTTTTCTCCCTCCAGCTAATTTATAGATTTAAAATATTTCCATTTCGTGAGCTCAAAATTCAGTGGTATGAAAAAGAAATACTTGGGGTGGGAGGTTCTACGCCTGCATTGTATAGGTTCCTGTTGTTCTGTATTGTGTACTTTCAGTTTCAAATTTTGTGAGAGGTAACTTTTATGTCCTTCGTTGAAGAGCTGCTTGGTACGATCATAATATCATTCTCATATTCGAGCACTGTAGTTACTATTTATCTCTTTGTTAATATAGGCAGATAATATCAAATAGTGGTAGAAACAGCACTCAAAGAAACAATAATTGAAAGATCGTACTGGCATAGCCTATCCTCGAAAACCTTCCTTATGGATTGTTCAGAAAAATGCTCCTCGCCGAAACTGAACCACTGATAATAGGGAGTGTCTTGCCACACAAGCCCCTGATTGCTGCGAAGCAGTCAATTCATATTCTTGACAAGCAGTCAATTCATATTCTTGAAGTGTATTCATACACTTGTGATGTCTCGCACTTGTGATCAAATAACACACTGGCTCGCACTTTGGCAACACTCTTTGGCAGTCAACTCGCCCCTAGAAAACCCGCACTTGGAAACTTTCCCCATAAAAAAATTGTACACTTCCTAGACCAGTCTTCAAAATAAAAATTGTAACCTTTGGTAATCAACTACATTTTCCACATACATAGAAATTTGTGAAACTTTATTTAAAAAAACCTAAGCCATAATTCACCTCTACAGACACTTTTTGACAAAAATGAAAAACTTTGTTACCCAATGAGAAGTGTTCTAATATAGACAATGGGTCGTGTCTCATATTATTATTTGTTATAATTTTATTATTCATTATTTTCACTTGACGCA